TGTAATCGCACCAACTGCGATTACAGCGCCGTGATTCATCTTTGTGGATTACGGGCTGTGCATTCCAAACACGACTCCTTGGGTTCCTTCAACACTTCTGGCACCAATAATCATCTCATACGTTTTCCGTTTCCCATCAATCAGGATTAATCCTGACACCTGCTGAGGGCACCAGCCAAAATTGAAAGCCATTAACTGTTCTCTCACTCTGTTTGGACGATGGGGATGATCTGTCTCAGAGCTACTACTGGAGCACCGTGCCAAAACTCTTACTGCTGCAGTGTTCATTTTGGCACCTGAACTTGATTTTGTTTTAGTCTTTTGACAAAAACGCATATTAGTTTTAGTCTAATTTTAGTCAATCACGCTAGCCATCTGACAAACTTCATATCTTCTCGCTTGGGCCTCGGGAACGGAAGTGTACAACCGCACACTGAAGATGGCGGAAGTACTAATACATCAAGCCTGTGCAACTATAACCATAGTTAACATGTTGTTCCCATCTATCATGAGATTTGTGGAAAACTGTTTTATTCTGCTCTGCAGAAGTTGGACTATTATCTTTTTTTTTGCCAGTTGGAATTTACATATTTGCTTGTATACATTGTATATAAATATGTGAATCATTACCTTTTATAATGTTTAATTTGGTTATTAAGTTATTCATTAACATATAAAAATAAATGTGTTTTTCCATTACTATTCAGTGATACAGTACATTTAATTATAGGTTAATCACTGTTTATCATATGACAAATTTGTCTCGGCCATTTCTCTTTACACTCACACAAACAGGACTACACCAAGTGATACACACGTCACACACTCAAACACAAAAACCATCACACACTCACATTATCAAACCTCAAACTAACGCGTCGACTGTGTCGTCTGCCATTTATGCAAGACACTCCCAGCATTCCTCTGGATGACTAAGGCTTCTCCTCACTGTTACACCACAACAAACACCAACACTCACCCACAAGCCCCAGGATAAACACAGTCACTACATTTTGTCAAAACAAGTGCCAAGATCTCCTCAGGGCAGTGCGGTACAAAGATATACCTCGTATCATGTTTCATCTGCATTCATTCAGGTTTACAGCTCACTTCTCCTAGCCAGTAGCATAAATATGAAAATAAGAAGTCGCAGTGAGTAAAATGCCTGATTTACAGTAAATGATTCTTGAATGTCAATGTGATCATCACTGCCAAATGTGCCAGCTCCTGCATCTAACAGTATTATCAGACATCCAACTGCTCTTATGAACGTTTCGACTTTGTATATAGAAAATATATATGTAAATGTCAGAAGTTCAAAAAAAATGCCCAGAAATTCAACCAAGAGGCGATGATGGGGAAAAAGATCAAAACATCCACACACTTACTGTATATCTACTGCAAACCCATCATTAACTGTCTAAGATTTTGGTCAGAAAGTTGCAGGGGAGTTAACTGTGCAGATGTCTTCATCATTTTTCATCGCACTTTTGTGCTTGGCACATTCTTTTTTTGCGGAAGCGTGCAGCAGGTCTGGAAGGTTTTGGAAAACAGGATGATGTTATAAGAGCTGCCTTTGTATCTTTTTCTGTTTTATTTTTATATTATGTTATCATATGTTTCATCTTCAATGTAAATGCATCACTGCAGTATTACTGCTGTTACTGTCCAAAACAATAAAAAGAAAACCAAAACTGCTACATAACGTGTGGACAGAAGAGACTAATTCTTTCATGAACATAATATTGTAAATGCTTATTAAATGTTTATGATTGTATAAGTTGCTTTTACAGTAATTATACCTCTAGTTCCAATATGCCCACAACAGTAGCTGATGCAGTTTTTTTTACAAGCTCTTTCAAAATTCCCTTAAACTCAAACAAGTAAATCATCAGAAAGCAATTTCCATGCATTCTGATTTTTACCAAGAAGACTGCAATAAAAAAATGTCATCTTCTGCCCTGCATGAGTACAAACATGTTTTTTTTAAACATGTATGTTAACACCTTGAAGCAGACTGTTCACAGCAGCAGAAGAGCAAGTAGCTTTAAGTCCTGTCAGTTAAAATGATCATGAGACTAAAGTGAGCATATAATCATACGAGTGAAGTTTAGACTTAAATTGTCACCTGTTTCCCAGATTTACTCTGCTAGAGATCCATAGTGGGCTGCAGCTGGTCTGGGTACACTTCCAGAAGTGTATGAGTGTAACACCTTAAACAGTACATTTGGTATGGTATATATGTTTCTAGCATGCTGAGGTGTGTGTGTGTGTGTGTGTGGGTGGTGTTGTTGTGGGGGTGGTGTGCGTGGGGGGGGGGGGGGGGGGTCATCAGTTTTCTTCACCCTAAAAATAACTGTGTCTGTACAAATAGGTTCAGGTTGTTGTGTGAGGACACTCACAGCAACAGTTGTGTTTGTGTATTCAGGTCAGCTGGACTGGGCTTCATTCCACCCATCAAGAAATAAAAGACTCTGATGCTTGAACTTGGTGTATTTCTGTGTATAGTATGTGTGTGTGTGTGTGTGTGTGTGATCCTTAATGTGCATGCATATACTGCTATATTTGTGTATGTTTATCATATATATACATATAATACACAAGAATTTGGTATACTGCACATTCCAGCTGTATATATAGGACAAGCACGCAGTTGTCTTAGGTTTGGTTGGCTCCTGAACTTTAGACAAAACGTATTTAAATATATCACAAAAGGCTTTCACACAAATAGAGAAATACTCTATTGAAGTATTGAATTATTGATCACAATTCATCAGTTGTTTCACCGGGACTTTCCTAAACCTCTGAGGAATAATATATTTTAAGGTTATGTCTCCTGCAGCAACTCTGTCTCCTAGAAATTACATTAACTGTTTTCCAAATAATAACATAAATCACTGCCTGGTTAAGGGTCAGTTGTTATGTCTTTTGAAGGAATAATTTATGTGGCACACCAGAGTTTCTACAGGGCAGGGTTTCCTCCACACGTGCTTCATCGGTACTATGGCAAGTACTATGTCAGGATATTAGGACTTATGTAACAGAGCGACAGAGGCTGAATGAAGCAGTGGCTGGGAGGCTCAGCTCAGGGCAGGAAGTGCCCTTGTCTGCATTTGTCTCCCTTTAATAACCACCTGATACTTGGCCTTCAGACTTAAGAGGGTTTTTTTTGTACTATGATGTGTGCGCCAATACTTATTACACTTATTTGAGAGAGGAGAAAATATTCAGAGCAGAAAGAAGTAAGACCTCTGTAAGTGGGGAGGGGGAGTGATATATTTAACAGAGGCTATAAACTCAAAAAATATATTTCAAAAAAATAAAGCCAAAATATAAAAAGCTGAGTGATGGAAGTTTACAATAGCATATTCAGTGAGAGGAAAATTATGAATTTTTAACTAGTAGTTTTAATTTCTGCAAACCCAGGCTGTCTCTTAATGAGTGATCAGGTATATAACAGATGATGCTGTGCAAAAGGTGTTGAAGTATGCATATGTGTGTGTGGTTTTAGTGGACAAATTGTGTGTGTGTGTGTGTGTGTGTGTGTGTGTGTGTGTGTGTGTGTGTGTGTGTGTGTGCGTGTGTGTTCTTGTACTTGCTACGTAGTGAAGATGGGAAAAAAGTATTTTTGCAACAGAGTGAGGACATTTTTGGAAAGTGAGGACATTCTGGCCTGCCCTCGCGTTCTAAAACACCTTTTTGAGGGTTAAGAGTTGGTTTAGGATTCAGGCCAGAATCAGGTTTAGGTTAGGTGAAGGGTTATGGTTAGGCATTTATTTCTGATGGTTAAGCGTTAGGGTACAGGGCTAGGAACGCATTATGTCAATGAGTGTACTCACAGAGACAGTGTGTGTGTGTGTGTGTGTGCAGATAGAGGGTGTCAGTATGAAGAGAGAGAGAGAGATTCGGTTCTGTTTCCTGGAGTGAAAGTCAATGTCGGTGCTGTTCTGCAGTAGACAGCTCTATGTGGTCCCTTTTTTCCTCTTTCCACAGAGGAAATGCTTGCCATTTCAACAGAGACAATCACAAACGGTTTCTCTCACTGAGAGGAGCTGCACAGCGAGTAGTGTTATAACCCAGAGACAGACTCGACTGTAGCTCAAGAGGCAAAAAGCATTTCTCTAGATAAATGTCAGTTTTCTCAAGTTGTTTTCCACCATTATCTACTTGACAGGTATAAACAGGTTTAAATCACTGAAGACAGTCATGTAATATTTCAAAACTGAAGCAGCTCTTATTCTCTAATAAATTAATAGTTAGCAGTGACCATTACAGCCTGAGGCTCAATGCTTCTGGATTTTCACTGTAACAATACCAAAATGTTTAAAAAGAGCAGATCAGCCGAGGTGAATTCCAATTTTATCTCAAAGCATATCAACCTCTCCAAAAACATAGTGTTGCTTTACTTTACCACCAGAGAAGGTTAAGAAAAGCACAGACAGGAAAGGACCGGTTCCCTCAAAGTAAGGTTAAGTTTCTAGACTGAAAATTATATTCTTACTGTAATTTTTGTATTATTGATTTTTTAAAAATCAGATTGACATGTTTTAAAAATTTTAAATAAACATAATAGTTTCCATTTTTAAAATAAAACTAAAATGATGTACTCCATCTAGACTATTTGACGACGACGATGATGATGATGATGATGATGATGATGATAGCATAACAAGCAAAATATACTGCACAACTGGTCATGAAGAGAATGAGATAGAGTGCTAATTTCAGGCCTCTCCACCTGATTTTACTACCAGATTTTACTATTAGATGCCGACACAATGCTGCTATTTCACTTGTCAATACCCGAGCAGGTCGAGAATGCATGTGCCGTGGTGCAATTTAGAGCTTCATAAACACTATTTGCTGACAAAAATAGTGGAGCATGTGGAGCCTCTCCCCTTTAATAAAAGTCACAACTGCAATCTACACTGCTGAAAGCAGCCTTCACTCCTCTTTCTGCAGTGACAGATAGGCCTGCTGACAGTTTACTGCCCTGCTTTCAAATGCAGAAAGTACACACAGGAGAGAGTTATAACATTTTGACCACTTCTCAACCCTACAAAACTGTCCTTTTTGTGCATATTCCATTTTCTTATTTTATAATGACAACGTTCATTTCTGTCTCAACCAAACAGAAGAAGGAGGAGATCCTCAGATGTGGAGGATCTATAAGTTTCAGAAATGCAGGACTTTAAAAAAAGTTTTTAAAGTTTTCTTTCTCTTTTTCTTCTTTTCCTCACACACATATTGTCTGCATTCAGTAAAAACAGTCTGAGTACAAATGTAGTTGTAGCTGAACATGTGGATGCTCTGACTCTTACCTTTGACCTCCCCCAGCAGTTCGTTGGCATTCAGGCAGTCAACACGCTCCTTCCAGTCCTTGGACAGGAGCCTCTCCATGCAAGATGGTTCTACAAAAACACAGAAAATAATCACACTCACTTATTCCATACAGCATTTGAAGTTGAATTAAATCCACAAAATTCCACATCACCCAAATGCACAAAATTGTTGCAGTATTCTGATTTTTAAACAGTTTTTAAGTAACATTACAAAGATTTCTGGATTGTATTTTTAAACAATGATGCGTGTACTATCAGCTGAGATAAAACTTAACTGTTAAGCTGTGATACGTTTGCTAAGACAGCCAATGATACTCATTGATGCCAAGCACACAATCAGGATAAATGTGGGCAATGAAAAATAAGAGGAAGAGGGAAAAGGACAAATGAGCAAAGAGTCCATTCCTAATGTCTATGTCCTAATAAGGAACCATTTCCTCCTTCTTCTCCTCCTTTAAAAAAAGAATCAGTAGCCATCCAGCTGACCAAATGAGAATGTCTGCATTGTTCTGAGATGGGGTCGTATTTGTATCCATCCTCTTTCTCACAATGTGTTTCATAGCCTCAGGATAAAAGACATCACAGCCGCATGGTTTCATAAGATTCATAAGGTCTTATTTGTTCAACTGGTGTCCTGCTGTGAACTTTACTTAAACAATGGGAACTTTTCAATTCTTCACCAGGCAAACAGCTGACAGACAAACAGAAAGGCAGATATTTGCACATTTGTGTGAGCATGTGTTTGTGTGACAGACATAATGTAAAGTATGCATTCTGTCAGATGACAGTGGCCCTGGTACTTCTGACCCAGTGCATACACACACAATGCAGAGAACTGCAACACTGGACATCATTGTTGTCATACACCATCTCCTTTAGTCTTATTTTAGTCTTAAAACAATGTCAGAGAATGGTTCTTCTTATGTGTCATATTGAGCCATTACTAATCTATTAAAAACACCAGTGACCACAGGTGATGCCAAATCAACCACATGAAATCCTAAGGAACCTTTAATTATAAAATCTAATCACTTATTCTGCCACTTTCCAACACTTGTGTGTGTCAGCATGTGAAACTACATACTGCACATGTTCATCCAACCCTTCAGCTGCCCGACTTGGTCTGCATATACTGGCTCTCATGCCAGTTGATTTGCCACAGATGGTGCCATGGTCACATAGAGGCCCATGCTGAAGCCTCAGTCACCAAGAACGTCAGAAACACGCAAACACTCACAAAAAGTGAAGGCATTCTTGGGTGCTGTGTGGAAACATGGCCGTGAGGGCTTGCCTGATTTAAAATGGTTAAGTCACACAATAGCTCATTTGTGGCTGCCTTTATCCTGACAAAAGGCGCTGCAGGCATTCATTAGGGCACATGGCTTATTGTGAATGGCTTAATGTTTAGTGTGTGCATATGGGCCTATTGTGTGGTCATGAGATGCTGTCTGCTGGCCTAGCACAACTTCCTCATTGAGTCCATTAAAGTCTTGCATGTTTACAGTCAGATTATGATTGTTGTAAATAAGCTAATGCAGCCGTCCAGATCACATGGGATCAATGTAAACAAAAGGGGGAAGCAATGGCACCAAAAGAGGGAGGACAGCAGACAGCAAAACAAAGAAGCAACTTCAATACTACAGTCATTTCTGATGGTGATTTCCCATATTTGGGAAAAAATAGAGGGTATTTCCACAAAGTTGATCGACATTGCAGTAAAATAGGCTAATTAATATGATTTCCCCACCCTAAGGACAATGGAATCCACCCAATTTTTCATAGATTTATTGGACAAGTGGCTCCACTGGATATGTAGTTGTGTACATTTGGCTCAATGGGTGATATTTGCAGCCGGTAAAGGGGGAAAGCTGGAGGATGGGATCAGGATGAGAGGCTTTTTTTTAATCATTGTAAGACCCCAAGACGCCGATGTGCACTCGAATAAAATACAATTAGGAGTGAAATTTATGGGAGTACTTAGGGAGGAAAATACAACCTGTAATTCCAAGATACATCTGCAACTGAGTGTATACTCTGATGCACAATTTGTACCCCCATACCGATAAACAGATCAGGCAAGGAGACAGTGGGAGGTGAGGTGTAAGTGGGGAGGAGAAACGAAGAAGAGAAGAGGGATGAGTGAAGATGAGAGGAGGATGTTTTACCCTAGATGGTTCTCTATCTGTCCCTGAGACCAAGTTGGGGATCAAGTGCTGTTTAGATTGGAAGGTGGATAAAAATTCCTCGCCGTCTGAAAACTGGCTACTTTATCAAGTGACAGGGAAACATGGAAGATGGATGGGTTGAAGGCGATGAGGGAGAGGAAAGATAAATGGGGTGAGGAAAGAAGGCAGGAAGCAGGAGAGATGAGGAAAAAGGGTGAGTAGAAAAAACATTGGCCTGGAAGATGATGTGAGGAGCAACACGATGAAGATCTCTCATATTCCATAAGTACTGAGCTTTATGAGATGGAATGAAAGAATGAGTGAGGAAAAAATAAAGCAGTGAGGAAGTAGGGAAATGAGAGGAAAAGAAAGAGAAAATGATGAACAGGACAGCTAAAAATAGTAGGGAGAAAATGAGAAAACCCCTGTAAAACCCCCAGTTAAGTCCAAATAATGTGTAAATACTGACATGTGGATATAGACAGATGATAAACCAATTAACACTGATGATGGTGTTTTATTTCTATAGGTAGCTTTTTGATCACCTGCTTTATTGTCCTCAATAAAAGCAAACACCAGAACTAATGGACATAATAGTTTTTCTAACCCTTAACCCAGAGATCAGCTTCTAGTTGGTTGTAAACTAGACAGTTTTAACATCAGCAGGGAAAGACAGGCAGAACAGACAGGAAGAGTTGAGAAGGTGAATGAGCAATAAAACTTTGTGAAGGAGATAAGATGTGGATAAAGAGAGAGAAAGCTGTAGTAAATCAGCCGCAAAGCAGCCAGCATGCCAATGAGTGATTAGGGTAAACACGCTTTTATCACCTGTCCCCAAGTCAACCTGCCAAGATACTGTTTTGGGTGTTTTACATGAGCCACAGGCAACTTACTGTCTGTGTGTGTGTGTGTGTGTGTGTGTGTGTGTGTGTGTGTGTGTGGACGCGTTTTTCCTTCTACGTGGGGACTTCTTCCTGACTCCATACCAACTCATGAGGACCCATTTCACGGTGGGGATCTAAATTGAGGTCCCCATGGGCAAGAAATTGAATTTTAGGGTGGCAACATGGTTTAGGGTTAGGATGAGGTTAGGGTTAGGTTAAGTTTGGGGTCAGGGTTAGGGTTAGGCAAGTAGTGGTTCTGGTTAAGGTTAGGGTTAGTCTACAGGAAATGCATGTAAGTCAATGTAAAGTCCCCATTGACTGCAAAACATAAACTGTGTGTGTGTGTGTGTGTGTGTGTGTGTGTAAGCACCAACACTCCCCAATAACCTGTGCCAAGAAAAACACAGTGTGCCACAGGCTTCCACTCAGACTAGTCTCGCTCTTTTCTTTCATTCTGATGTTATTCTGTCCATGTGATTCCATGTGTTTAAATGTTTTTCATTGAACAAACTTTGCTATCTTTCACTTGCTATGTCCGCAAATGCCTTTAAGCTGTAGGTGACTGGATGTTTTCCTAACAAATATTTAATAATAAAATATTTGGAGTTGGAGTTAATGAAATAGTTCAACATCTTGGGAATTATGCTTATTTGCGAGCATGAGCCAGCACAGCTTAACCTAGCTTAGTTTATCTTAGCACAACAAGATCGGAAGCATGGAGAAACAGCTAACCTGGCTTCAAACACATTTTCAAAAATCTGCTAGACTGCACTTCTTCCCTTTCTTCAAAATAAACACTTATTTCAATTCTGATGCCTGCAACACAAACCAAAAAAGTTGGGACAGTAAAACATCTATCACGCTGTGATGCTGCCGTTCCTTTTCACAACACCGAGGACACCAAGTGATTAAGGTTGTCAGGTGTAATTTTGAGTTTTAAGCTTGAGTCCATGTCAATCAGCTGAAACGTGTCCAAAAAGGTCCGGAAAAAGTCTATCACACCTTCTTTGAAACGTCATAAATGTTGTTTAAATCATGACAAGACAAGTCTCTGCGATATATATTTTTCTGTTTGACTTCAGGTGAAACCATGAAATATGACCATCATTTAAATACACAAAAGAACAAAAAAAAAAGCTCTTGTGAGAAACTTTCCATCTGTTTTCTGACATGCAGCAGGTCTACATTCAACAAGTCCATATATTTTCTTTATAGAAGCATGTTTATTTCATGTTTTGTATTTGATGATATTTCAAAAGTTCCCTTATAATTTATTTGGCATTTGGATGGAAACAGTGTCTCTCTCACTCTCTTACACACACACACACACAGTACTGTGCCAGAACTCGGGAAACACTCGAGTCTTCGGTTGAACGCCAAGGTAAAGAGAAGAAAACATTAATCTGAAAATTCAGTTAATGGTAGAAATAGCAAAGGCCAATGTTCTAGTGGGTACCTGATGTTTGTGTAACACCCCCATCACTGAAAAAACCATTTTGTGTCTTCACTTCACCACTGAATGTGTGTAAATGGAAGTTGACAGCTACACTTTGCACTTCCAAATTTATGTCAATTGTGTGCCTTCAGCTGCAGACCCCACAGCATCAGACAGAGAATAACAAAAGAAAGAAAACAGAATAAAGACAAACTGAAATTACAGACAGAAGGAAAACACAGGCAAATGTAAGAACAGACCAAGAGAGGAAAAAAGATTTTAAAAAAACAGCACTATTACAAAAAGGAAGGGAATCTGTGAGAGGCAGACCAACAGAAGCAGAGATAGGGAGGAAGATACTGTACATAGAGACCGAAGGACAGCGAGACTGAAGGAGAGAAACAGAGCAGGAGAGGCACAGAGAGAGCAGCTGTCCTAACAGCTGGCTGGCAAGATTGATGTCTCAGTGAAATAAAACTCAACATATGTCCAAACATGAGGAGACAAGCCATCCAGGAGGAGGAAAGAGACACACACAAACACACGCTGATAGGAGAACACGTGAACATACATGCACACCACACA